CCCCAGCGACTCGTTACGGCCGCAGCACATGCGGCGGGTCGATACGGACACGTGCTCTTCCCCAACGGCACGCACGAACCAGCCCTACAGCTAGCAGAACAGCTCACGGGCAAAAACACCGCCGAAGCTTCGCTCCAGACGAATCCCGGGTATGGATGGGCGGACAGAGTGTTTTTCAGCGACGACGGAAGTACGGGCATGGAGGTGGCGCTCAAGATGGCGCTGCAGGCGTCGATTGCGCGCTACGCCGTGCGCGCCTCGAGCGACAAGGCGGCGGAGAAGGCCAAGTCGGGCCAGCAAGCGGGGTATAGGGGTGGCAGGCCCAAGCAGGAGTGGGAGGTGCTCGGACTCAAGGGCAGCTACCACGGCGATACGATTGGCGCCATGGACGCGTGCGAGCCGAGCGTGTACAGCGAGGCCGTGCACTGGTACCGTGGCCGAGGGTTTTGGTTCGATCCTCCCACCGTCGAACAGCGCAGCGCAGGCAGTGTGACCATCTCGCTGCAGGTGGCCGACAAGGACCTTGCCGAGCGTATGCGCACGTACCACCTGCCCAACGAGCTCAAGGGCGCACAGGGCAACGTGTTCGAACGCACCTACTCGTCCATGCAGGAGGTGTACGACGTCGAGGCCCGACTCAAGGCAAATGATCCGCTGGTGCAGTTCTACACCGACTCGATCCGCGATACCTTGCGCCGGCTCACCAAGGAGGAGGGACGCAAGTTTGGCGCGCTCGTGCTCGAGCCGCTCGTCATGGGCGCTGGCGGCATGGTGTTTGTCGACCCGCTCTTTCAGCGTGTGCTCATCGACACGTGCCGTGCCAGCCAGGACCTCTTCTCGCTCACCGACCCGCCACTCTCGTCATCCACCAACGTCGCCGCGGAAGGGTGGCAGGGGATCCCGGTGATCTTTGACGAGGTCTTCGCGGGGCTCTACCGTCTGGGTGCGTGCACAACCGCATCGGTGCTGGGAACCACGCCCGACATCTCGGTGCTCGCCAAGATCCTCACGGGAGGCATGGTGCCGATGTCGGTCACGCTTGCGTCTTCGGCCATCTTTGACGTGTTCAACCGCTCCGACTCCAAGGTCGATGCGCTGCTGCACGGACACAGCTACACGGCGCACCCGATCGGATGCGCGGTCGCCATCGAGACGCTCAGAGCGATCGAGGCGCTCAAGCAGTCGTCTGACTGGAAGAAGGCTCAGGCGCAGTGGCAGGCGGGAGACAAGGGCGTCTGGTCGTTCTGGTCCAAGGATTCTGTCGAGCAGCTGGCGGCGCTGGAGGGAGTCGATCATGCAGTCGCCATGGGCTGCGTCCTCAAGGTCGCGATCAAAGACAGCCAGGGCGGCTACACCTCGACTGCGGCCGTGGACGTGCTCAAGAAGCTGCGGTACGGAAAGTCGGCCAGCCAGGGCCATCCCAGTGTGCCCACGCAGCAGCCAGAGGATGAGGAGACTCTGCCGTACAACGTGCATGCGCGCCCGCTGGGCAACGTCATCTACCTCATGTCGTCGCTCAACACGCCGCCTAGCGTGCTGCGCACCTCGGAACGCGTGCTACACAATGCACTGCGCTCCGCCACCTCGTAGCCTCGCCTCACTTTCATAGCATAATTTACACAGCCGTTAGACTCTGGGCAGCTGCGTTTGTGCATTGCGCTTGTTGCTATGAGGGCTCTTGATCGTCGAGCATATCGACAAGCACCGCCAGCACCTTGCGCTGCGTTTCGACCTTGCGCCTGTCTGTCGTCGGCACAAAGGTGGGCACTCCCGCGCGCGCGAGCTCCTGCTGCTGCGCCTGCAGACACTTGTCCCATTGCGCAAGCGCGTCGGCGCGCCGGCGGTGGTCCTCCTCCTTGCGCTGCTTGATGTGCGGGTACTGGCGCTCCTTGGTCGCTGCGAACTGGTGGTACTCCTTGGCGAGGCGGCGTTCGAGCTCGCGCTGCTGTGTGCGCAGCACCTTCAGCCGGCGCATCAGCCCCGCATCCGCAGCGAGGCCTGACAGGATCGGCAGCGACTCGGCAAAGCTGAGCGACGCCAGATCGCGTGGCGCGTCCTTCTTCGGTGGAGCGGCGGGCGGCGCGTCCAGTACCGCGTTTGTGGCGCTGAACGGGTTGAATGCATATGGATCGAAGGGTGCTTCTGCGGGCGTGTATGCTGAGGACGACGAGGCGTAGGTGCGACGACGCTGTGCAGCCGCGTCCGACGAGGTGTGTGCGTCTGCCTCGGGCTGCGGAGCCGTAGCGAATGGGTTGGAGGGTGGGGCGGCGGACGAAGACGAGGCATCTTGCTGGCGCCGCAGAATGTCGAGCAGCCTCTGCACGCCGTGCGGATCGTCGCGCGGCTGGTTCAAGTCCATGGTCGACGTCCACCCCGATCTGCCCGGTGGTGATGATGGTGGTGTTGGGTCGAGTGAAGGCAATGTGTCAAATCCCTCATCCTCCTCCACTCGCCGCCGCCAGCAAGAGAAGCGCCTTTTTGTGGCTTTGGTGGGGCGGCCGTATTCCGACTTCCGACTTCCGACTTCCTCGTGCTCTCCTGGAAATTCTCACTTCTCCCGGACGGCCCTTTTGGCATTCCTTCCTGCTTCCCAACACCACCGAAAGCACACATCGACCATGCCTTCCAAACGCAAACGCTCTGGACCCGGGTTCAATCGCGACGCTCCGGCGGATTCAGGCGGGTATAAGCGCACCAGGCCCGCGTACAACCAGGTCTACCGCGTCCCTTCGCGCAACATCTCGGGACCCGGCATCTTTGTGACGTGTGTCCAGGGCAAGGAACGCAAAGCGGCCCTCCAGTTTATCGACATGCTCAACGAGCTGGCAGACCGACTCTACCCCGGCATTGCACCGCAGCCCGTTCCCGAGCCCAGTGCTGCTTCAGTAGGTAATGCTGACGACGAGGAGGACATGGATGCGCTTCGCAATGGCGCCGCCGCATCGAGCACCGAAACCAAGGCCGTCGAATCTCAGGCCCCTGAGACCGAGACCCCCGCAAAGGAAGACAAGGCAGACAAGGCAGGAGATGACGACATCGAGGCGCAGATCGCGGCAGAGCTGCGCGATATCAAATCGTCCGAGCGTCGGCGTGGCGGTGGAGGCAAGGCGGTGCGATTCCGCAGCGTCGAGACGGACACCGAGTGTCTCGTCTTCATCTCGGTCGCTCCGCCCTTCGACCCGTACTTGCTCACCTACACGCTGCTGGAGGAAGTCGAGTCGACGGGCGTCGCGCGCTCGCGTTTCGTGCAGCGCCTCACGCCCGTCTCGACCACGTGCCCCGCCAACGCCACTGCGCTCGCCGACCTCGCGCGCTCCGTGCTGCCCGGCTTCTTCGGCACAAACGAGGGCGAGGGGAAGACGTTCAAGATCGACCCGCGCATCCGCTCGCATTCGCAGCTCAAGCGCAACGATGTCATCCAGACCATCGCCGCCAACATCCCCACTGCCGACCCAGAGAACGACGGAGGCGAGAGGAGGAGGATTCACAATGCCAACCTTACCGAGCCGGATCTGTGGATCGTCGTCGAGGTCGTCAAGAACGCAGCGGGCATCAGCGTCGTTCGCGACTACAACCGATTCAAGAAGCTCAACCTCCAGTCTCTGGCGCAGACAACCGAAGGCGAAGCGCAGGGACGAGTCGCTGATAACCTCGTACAAGACAAGGCCGCAACAAAAGCGGCCGAAACAAAAGCAGCGGACAAGGAGCCGCAAGCAGCCGCTCAACCTGCGGTGCCAGCCGCAGCCGAGACCGATACGCCTGCCGAGGAAGAAAATTCGGCTGCATCAGACCCTCAAGACATGTCTGCGTTCCGGTTGTTTTGACATGTTCTAGCATTGTCGCGTCTCTAATCAATACACACATCAGGCGCCGAACGACTTGAGTGCGATGGAAGCCTGTTGGTCCTTCTTGCCGGCCGCAGTTGCACTGGCGCTAGGCTGTGTGCCTGCGCTCAGCTGGGCTCTCACTGCGGTCTCGAGTGCGGTCCTGCGCTCGGGCGCCAGGGCGGCGGTGGCCTCTTTGAACGCGGCTGCATGCTGCGCGGCGAGAGTGATGAGCTGGCGTGTGGCAAAGACGTGCATGTCCGCACCGGGCGTGCCCGCAGCCGCGGAGGGAGAGAGCAGCACCAGCAACGTCGGCATGATGATGCCCAGCGCGCGTGCGCGGAAGTCACCCTCGGCGGGAAGCGTGGCAACGAGACCTGTGAACGTCTTGATCACGTCCTCGACCGCTCCGCGCAGCGCGGCTAGTGGCGTACGTGCTCCGGCGGCCGAGGATGCCACCAAGGGCCCTGCACGGCAGATGAACTCGATCAGTCCCGGCAGTAGCTGTCCGACGCAGTACAGCAGCGCCGCATTGCCGCGCGACGAGGCCAGCACCACCGTGCGCGCACAATTGACCGCGGTCAGCCCGATCTCCTCGACGCCTTCGGGCAGTGCATCCTCGCTGCGCATCTGCTGCAGCTGCTCCACTTCCTCCTCGAAGCGCAGCAGCTTCTGTACAATCAGGTAGCACGCATGCTCCGCCACCGCCTGCGACACCTTGACGTTGACCGGGATCGAGGTGAGCACCACCACCACCGACAGCAGGCTGTTCTTGGTCTTGTTGAGCGCCACGCGGCCCGAGCGCGTGCGCAGGTCGTCCACATGCTGCAGCGCCTGCGACAAAAACCCATGCACCGCTCGCTGCAGCACATCGCTCCCCGGCTTGACCGACCTGGCTGACCGCTCGCACAGATCCTTGAGCGGGCTCAACGCCGCACCGACAATGTCGTGCTCAGACGTCTCGTCGCGCAGCATCTCGGCATACGTGTAAAAGCCCACCGCAAACAGATCCTCCTGCACCGCCTTGGGGTACAGACCGACGATGCCGATGTACGCCGAATAAGCCACGCGCAGCAGCGCCGCCTTGTCGTCCACCGTGCCGCGCGTGGTGCGCACGTGCTGCAGCACACACACCACCACGCGCAGACACTGGCTCAGCTTGGCTTCGCCCGGCAGCTTGCCCGCCTCGGCCGCCGCCTCGTCCTCCGCCGACAGCAGCAGCTTACCGTACGAAGCCGCCATGCCCCCGATCGTCTCGAGCACCGAGATCTGCACCGCCGGCGGCTCGGTCATCACCAGCCGGTACCACAAATTGCACAGCTCCGAAAAGAGAGCCTCCTGCAGCAGCGCCGAACCCGCCACCTGCGGCTTGCTCAGCGCCGTCATGGCGCGCAGCGAGATGCGCAGCACCTGCCCCTCGTGCGCCGTCTCGATGCTCGTCGACGACCGCGTGGCGAGCGCTTCGAATGCAAGCCCGTACAGCACAAAGAAGAACAGACACGGTTCGCTGCGTGCCTTGGGTGCCGCTGCACCTGGCGCAGTCGCAGTCGAAAAACTCGTGCCGCCATCCATGGCCGCTAGCACGACGCCATCGTTGTCGGAAAGAAGCCCCGTGACGGCCTGGAGGATCTTGTGCCACGAGCGCTCGTGGTACGGCAGCACCACCTCGCGCGCCAGACCGGCGTACTGCGAGTCGAGGCTGGCGTTGATCGAGGGTCCCGGTCCACCGGGTGCGCCGCCAGCATCCATCTCGGGATCGGAGCGGATCTTGGCGTACTCGCGCAGACACGCGATCCAGTACGGCGCCATGCGCGCCACGTGTGGCTTCACGACGTCCACCAGGTAGCTCTGTGTCGCGCTCGCCGTCTGCAGCTCGGCCCATGCGGTGAAGACGGCGATCTTGAGCATGGCATTCGCGTTCTGCGAGAGATCCTTGACATCGCCCAGCTGCGCCATGCTCGGCTGCATGCAGCTGTCGAGCGCCGACACGAGCTGCTTGAGGATCCGCCCCATGCGGCTCACCTCCTTGACCACGCCGGACGACACGAACACCGCGCACACCTCGACCGCAGCTGCGAGCACTTCGGGTGTCGAGTCGGCCAGGAACGCCGGCGTCAGCGCGGCAGCGATGGGCGCCTGGTGCTGCTCGAGCAGCAGCGCCTCTTCAAAGTCCGGATCGCGCGCCAGCTTGAACGCCTCGATCACGTCGCGCAGCACCACAAGGCCCTCGAGCCGGATCTCGATGTTGGCCGATGTGCTCGCGGTGAAGGCCATGCGGATGAGGTCGACGACGCGACTGCTCATCAGCAGCCGACGCTGCGGCGAAGCCGCGTCGTTTCTTGCGCCCGACGGCGTGCTGAAGTGCTCGTGTTTGCCCGCATTGTGCACCGTCACAAACACCTGGTGCAGGCACTGGAGCGCAAACAGCTGCGTGCGCCAACGGCTGCCACCGGTCGCGTTGAGCTTGACAGCATTCGTGTCGGCGCCCAGGTCGATGGTCGCCGCCTCCTCGTCCTGCAGCATGGTGGCGAGACTCGGCTGTGCATCCTTGCGCTTGCTGGCGTCCGATGGCGTCTGGCGAGCCGGCGCCGACGACATGATGCGTTGGCACAGGTCGATCCAGCCGCTGGGTGCCAGATCGGCCGTCTTGTGCAGCCAGCTGATGATCACCTCGCGCGCGCCGTCCAGCTTGGGATCCTCGTCGAGCTGCGCAAAGAACTCTTCGACGAGCTGGTCGCCGCCGATCCTGCTCATCGCAAGCGCCTCGCGCTGCACGAGCTGGTAGAAGGCCGTGGTGGCGGCGAGCTTGAGCGTGCGCTGTTTGCCGTTGAGCTGCGTGCGGAGCTGCGCGATCCACGCGGCGATGTCGACAAACTGCGCCGCAAACAGGTTGAAGTGCTGCAGCGCCTTGGTCGACTCCACCACGACGCCAGCATCGCTCTCGTGCGCGAACTCGGAGAGCAGGCAGTGGATGAGGCCGCGCACGCGCGCCGACTCCTGCAGATCGGGACCGAGCACGCCAATGAGCGCATTCACCACACGACACACCGCCTGGTGCGCCGGCAGATCGGCGCGCAGGTTCACCGAGCCCGCACTGCCTCCCTCGGGCTCGTGCGTGTCGAGCATATACAGCTTGACGAGCATCCCCAGCGTGCTGGCCACGTACGGACTGTAGCTAAGACCGGCCGAGTCGACTACGACGTGAAGCGCCTCGAGCGCATTGTAGTGCACCGTGGGATGAGGATCGTTTGAGAGCGACATGAGCACATTGACAATGGTCTTGGTGAGCGGGCCGGCGGCGAGACCACCGACCTCCTTGTACACCGAGCCAAAGGCAAGTGCGCATCCGGCACGCGCGTCTGGGTCGCGGTTGCCCACGATCTGGTCCACGAGGAACTGCACCTGGCTCGACAGGGCTTGCGAGCCCGCCACAGCCGCCAGCTTGCCATAGGCTTCGCTCGCCGCCGCGCGCAGCGCCGGGTCTGCCTGCAGAAGAGCGTCCTGAAGCAGGTCCTTGATGGATGCGCTGAGACGGTCATTGTTGAATCCACTGGGTCGCTTGCCATTGGCGCCCGCCCCGCCTTGAACAGCCACACGGAGCGCACCGAGGATGGCGACGACGACGTTGACCTGGATCGCCTGCTTGCGGCCCGGGTTTCTGTCGAGCTTTGTGCTCTTGGTGTGGGCGAGCATGGCCTCGATGGCCGCCACCTGGACGTCGCGTTCCTGGTAGGGGAGCAGCACAGTGAAGAGCTGGATGGCCGCATCGACGACGCCCGTAGCCGCTGGAGGCGACAAGCGCGCCGACTCGCGCAGCTCCAAGTGACTACCGAGACGGCTCGGGTCGGTGGAAGTCTGGCTGGTCGAAGACGGACGGACCGCCGAGTAGAGGAAGAGCTCGTCATGCTCGGCCGCACCGAGTACGGGGCGTCGTTGCAGCGCGTCGAGCTGCACCTCGATCAGATCGCGGTTGAGAAGGTCAATGCGGGTCGTGGCGCTGCATGCGTTGAGTGCATCGACGCGATCCGAGACAAACGTCTCGGCGTCGCGTTGCAAGCTGGTGACGCCAAACGCGTACCCGTCGGCCATCTCCCAGACGCTGGTGAAGTTGCCGGCGCTGGCGGCAATGGCCGCCTGTGCGGAGCTGCCAATGTAGCGATCCGGGTCGGCAAACACCTGGATGGTGGACTTGATCAGACCGGCCTGCATGGGCTCCATGGCTGGGTTCTGAGCAAGCACGGCAAGGCACTGGAAGAGCCGGCGTCGAAGCAAGAACTCGCGATCGAGCAACGAGAGCGCAGAGCGACCTGCGCCCGGGGTGTGTTCCTGCAGAAGGTGCGGGTTCTGGGCTACGAACCCATCAGCAAAGGCGAGCGCATTGCTGAGCAAGGCGACGATGCGTCGTGCCGTGTCGAGCGTGACTAGTGTCGAGCCGTTGTGCAACAGGAAGGCCAAGATCGAGCTGAGCGTCCTCTCTCGGACGTGCAGGAGGAAGGCCGACTCTGCGTCCGAACGCGTGGAAGGCCCTGGCGCGGTGTCTTTGGAGGTGGGCTTGGGCAGCGAGTTGCGCCAGAGGATGAGCAGCTGCGGAAGGTGGAGGCGGACAAAGTTGGGCCCGAGCGACATGAGGGAAGCGATGAGGGTCCAGGCGACTGAGATCTCGACGGAAGAGACGGCGAGGTCGTGGTTGCCGCTGTTCTTGAGCAGCTGGATGGCGAGAGAGAGCACCTTGGAGCTGATGGCAAAGGAGGTGTAGAGTGGACGCTGGGGCACGATGCTGATGAGCGCGGCGAGGCCCTTGGCGTGCCCATTTGCGCGCTTGGAGAGCTGTGCGGCGCCGATGGAGGCCGAGCCATTGGTGAGGGTGGTGAGGTCGCGGTTGAGCAGCTCCAAGACAGCGGTGAGGGTGGAGGAGAGGTGGATGGGTGCGACCTGGCAGAGGGTCTTGAGGCACCAGGCGGCGTGGGTCTGGACCGAG